AATATAGCAGCCGTGGTTAATATACTTTTGTTAATTTTCCTCTCATTATAATTTCCTTTTCATTAATTTTTCTCATCAAATTTTTTTCAATTTGAAATTAATTTTAGAAGCAAAGCAACGTAAAAGACAACTCTTTTCTCGTTAAACGGCAACATTTTACACTAATTAAATCTATTCGGAAATCTCTTTATCAATCTTGTGACAACATGTTCGTGCCAGCGAAAGACAGCAAATGGTTTCTCCATAACGGGGCGGCTACTTCTGCCGCACGGCGGGACAAGCGTAATGTCGAGGAATCCCGGTTTCTTGCATCCGCACATAAATCAAGTATACCCCCCCTAGAGCATTGTTTCGCGGCTTACGAAGTATTATTGATGGCAATTCTACGCGCGGCTGTTAATCTGCGCAACGGAGAGGGATGGGGGGAGGGGGGGAGGACGAGGGAGTTTACGGAGGGAGTCGCGGCTGATTTACGGCTAATTAAGGTTAACAAGCCATTTAAGTCTATTATTAAGCTGGCGTTTAAAGGCCGAAATCCACGAGTGCATAAATTATCTCACCAGCAAAGACCAGTAAAGAGGGGGGTGACGGAAGGGGGGTGAAAGGAAGGCGTTGAATAGTGTACAACCACCTCCCTCTGGGCGCCGTAATCGGCCAACATATTTTCAAATTAAAGCCCGGGTCACCGGGTCGTTCACGCTGTGATTTTAAATAGCGAATCTGTTTCTGGCGTCTGTTTGTTTCGAGATTTGTTATGGCCTACCTCGAGATACTTCATCCTCGTCGAACCTCGTCTGACACGCGGGACACTCCGAGAGACCACGCTTGCCGCCTAACGCATCGATGTCAAACGTCTTGAGTTTTTCAATGCCTGGTGAAAACAAGAAATCTGGATTTAAGGACAAGTGTAACGAATGATCGACAATGCCATCATTGAAAGGCATGTAATAAAAAAGTCTGTATTTCTGTAAACATAGTTTTTTTTCGTACGTTATTTAATAGAAAATTTTCAATCGTAAACTTAATCGAGCAATATAAATTTCCGAATTTAATTAAGCAATAGAAATTTTAATTCTCAAAAAATACAAAAAAACATACAATATATGTATGTGTACAAAAATAATTCCTTTAATAACTCATAATAGTTGTTTATTTACTTTTTGTCTTATCGTGAGCACTGAAATGTATGTCAAAGCAGATGGATGCAGATGGATCTGAGCTCTTCAACACCTTCGACCAAGGGTTGAAGGTTCAGACTTAATGACAGTCGTAACCAATGACCAGTAATGCCATAATCGTACATGAGGCGGCGGGCAGCTTCGTCTCCCGATTTGATTAATGGGGGAACACAAAAGATTGCCTTCCCACGGGCGAACACAAACGAACACTTAAAATTGCCAAGATGTGACGTGATTGATTGATTTGTCGGAATCATCCAAGAGTTATAGCGCTAAATTATCGATATTGTGCTATTGTTTTCACGAAAAATATTAAACTCTATTGTTTGTAATCATCCGCACACACATCCCTCGTTCAAACATTATTATATAAATTAATTCCAAATTATCTCTAAAATGATGCATGAAAATATAAAGAATAAAAGTTAGAAATATTATTTTTTTTTAATAATATAAATATATATGAATATTTAAATATATTTAAAATAATATAAATTACGCCTGAGAATCTAATAAACTAAGAAAGGAAATTACGAAAAAAGAGGAAACTTGACTCGTATGTCTTTAGTATAAAAAACTTTTTATGTAAAAACAAAAACTACATAATTTCAAAAGAATTTATAATTATACTTGCGTTTTTCTCTCTTTTTGATAAATTCAAACAACTCCATAAATTTAAGTTTATATGTGCAAAGTATATTGAGAAAATATACAGCAAAGAACTGCAGTCTTAGTGACCGCTAATTTTGATTGTCAAATTCAACGTAACAAGATGATCGCGTCCATTCATTAAGATCTCACCAGTGTTCTTTATTCCAATCCAATCTATAACCTCTCCAACTGTTCTTCAATCATACGCAGGGATCTGTAATGCGGGAGAGTAACGCGGAACGTAGCATTGCGCGAATACGCGTTCAAATACTCGCATATCCGCCGGACATCACGATACGCCGGCATGATATCTATCGATAGCGATCGAGCCGGGCATAGAGCGTGCTTCGTATCGGTGAAATGCCATTAACATGATCTATACTCCTGCTTCCGCGGCTACCGATTCGCTCGAGATGTTATCTCGCCGCTTCCCTTGAGTCTCTCTCTCTCTC